AAATACAATGAATCACTTGCAAATTTAAATAAATCTTTGGAACTTGAACCATATGATGCATGGGCATTAAGGCATCGTGGAGCAACTTATTTTCAGATGAATAAATATGAAGAATCACTTGCAGATTTAAATCAATCATTGGAACTTGAACCAAATGATGCATGGGCTTTAAGGCATCGTGGAGCAACTTATTTTCAGATGAATAAATATGAAGAATCACTTTCAGATTTAAATTAATCATTGGAACTTGAACCAACTAATGTATTTGCATTAAATGAACGTGGAGCAACTTATTGTCAGATGAATAAATATGAAGAACCACTTGCAGATTTAAATAAATCATTGGAACTTGAACCAACTAATACATTTGCATAAAATGAACGTGGAGCGACTTATCGTCAGATGAATAAATATGAAGAATCACTTGCAGATTTAAATAAATTATTGGAACTTGAACCAAATAATGTATTTGCATTAAATGAACGTGGTGTAACTTATCGTCTATTGAATAAATATGAAGAATCACTCACAGATTTAAATAAATCATTGGAAATTGAACCAAATAATGCATTTGCATTACGTAACCGTGGAGCAACTTATCGAATGATGAATAAATATGAAGAATCACTCGCAGATTTAAATAAATCATTGGAACTTGAACCAAATAATGCGATTGCATTAAGCGAATGCGTACACGTAGATTCCACGATAAAACTTAAATCTAATAAAACTAATAATACATCTACAGTAAGAAAAAATTGGTTTTCTAGATTAAAGAAACCTTAGTCTTGATTTTAATCCGTATACTAACAAGATATTGTACTATTGGCAAATTTAAAATTGAACTAGTTACTTAAAATATTTAATAAGCTATAAATATAATTGTATATTTCGATTATATATATCTGGTTGTGGTAATTGCAAATAAATTTTATTTATATCCTTAATTTATAGTAGTAATTATAAAAAATGCAGCAACGAAAGATTCCATTCTGCATAACTCAAACCATATTATTTTTTGTAAATTTAGCTTTTTTAATACTAATTACTGTGTTTTTAAAACAAATATGCTTTAAACTACCTAAATGCATGTATGCTAAATATATATTCCATAAAAATTTTTGTAAATGCAAACAGCCATTTGACTCAACTAATATAATAATATTTTTAAGCGCAATAGTCTTTAAATACATAATTAAAAATTTTTCTATAGTTTTAACATTGTATTTAAAGAGATATAACTATAGTAACTGAACTTTATAGAAAAAAACATTTATATAATGAATTTTTCGGTATTAAGGTGAAGTTTTGCCTTATTTTTTAGGGAATTTTACAGATAAAGGCCCAAAGGCGAAATAATTACAAATAGGGGCCCATAATGAAAAATAATTACAGATAGAGACCTGATATTTGAAAATGATTACAAATAAGGGACTAAAATAATTATGCGTTTAAGAACTTATGATTTAAGCCCTGTTACGATGATTTGAATATGATTTTGATATAGTCTTTACCTGTTAACGCGTAAGAAATGTAATAATACTCAATTAGTGATTAGAATATAAATTCAAATGCACAATAAAAAAATACATTCGATTCGTCAACCTATTATTTGCGCTGTAAATTTATTCCATTGAAATTCTTAAAAACTTTACTAACATAGAAAATGTTCATTCGGTCTTGGACAGTTATTCTGTCGAATCATCTTATAAGTTCAGAACGAACAAATCCAATAAGCTGTTGGCTAGTTGTTATACAAATAAACCACTTCATGCTCTTTTACTATTTCAGCTAGCATGTGCAAAGATGGCTACATTCATATATATAGTAAGACTGATTCCTCATGATCTAACTTGTCCAACTCTATGGAAGAATTCAAAGCACGCGGATCATATTTACTGCGTAATTAGTTAAAAATATTAAAGTAGTTCGATCTCGTGACATTATAAATCGCGTTCGTTCTGAAGTAGGCACCGAAAACATAATACATGGTAGCTTGGAGAAGTAAGACTAATAGGCCACACAATGTTATTTTTTGTTTTGCATAACATGGATTTCAAAAATGCGGTGGAGGTTTGAATTCTGAATAATGAATGATAACTATTTAATCACGAAATGAGGCAATTAATCATGATATCTTACGTTTAATCAGCTAGCAATTTTGACGGTATATTGGCCCTTATTTGTAATAATTTTCAAATATTGGGCCTTTCTCTGTACTTATTTCATTTTGGGCTAATGGTAGTTTTAGGTTGTTCTCAAGCAGCTCCCTCGATGTAATTTGCAAGTGATCGAGATGCTGCTCAATCATTTCGATTAATCGAAATGATCATGGTAACAATTTTGCCGAAAATTCATTGTGCGAAATATGGATTTTAAATTTCAGCCAATCGGAATTACTCTATGAAAAAAAAGATGGTTGTTAGCTCCAGGTTTTTTGACACGATTTATTTTTTCGGCCAATCGGATCACTTTATCGATCATAGAGGGAAGTGCTTGAGAACAACCTTAGTTTGTTGTGGTTGGCTGTCATTTCATTGTTTATTCTGTAAGATATTCGCAATTGCAATGAAGTTACAAATAATGAAAAAAATACTATTATAATACAATAATAAATTTTACGTATCTTATAAAAATTATTAAAAAAATATTGTAAGAAAAACTCGAAATAATTTCCGAGAGTATAGAACTTCAAAATTTGGCCAAAATTAAGCTTAACTCTGGTTGTAATTCAAAGTAACGCACACGCTTGTTATTTCGAGTTTTTATAGTAAAAATTAACAATCAATCAGATTGTAAATCCAGACGCTGTATATTTACTATGCGTTTAAATATCTGAAGTATCTGGATACAATTACCAGTTTTACTAATATTTCCCATCTCAATTGATTTTTGATAATAAATAAAAGCTTTATGTTTATCTTTTTGGACTCCAATTCCATGAAGATAACAACTTCCAACATTATATGTTCCATTAATGTCACCCATATCAGCAGACTTTTGATAATAAATGAATGCCATATGCTCATCCTTTTCAATCCCAATTCCATCTCGATAACAGTTTCCAAGTGCGAATATTCCATCAGTACTACCCATCTCAGCAGATTTTTGATAATAAATGAACGCTTTATGTTCATCTTTTTCAACTCCAATTCCATCATGATAACAATATCCAACATTATTCATCCCATTAACATCACCCATCTTAGCAGATTCCCGATAATGAATAAACGCTTTATATTCATCTTTTTCGACTCCAATTCCTTGAAGATAGCAGTATCCAACGTTATACATTCCACTGACATCCCCAATATTAGCAGATTTTTGATAATTAACGAATGCCTTATGTTCATCCTTTTCAACACCAATTCCATTTTGATAACAATATCCAACACTAAACATAGCTTTAGCATTCCCCATCTCGGCAGCTTTATTAAAATGAATAAATGCTTTGTTATCATCCTTTTCAATCCCAATTCCATATCGATAACAATATCCAACATTATATAAACCGCAAATGTTCCCCATCTCAGAAGATTTTTGATAATAAACGAATGCCTTATGCTCGTCTTTTTTAATTCCAATTCCCTTATGATAACAGCTGCCAAGCGCGAATATTCCATTAATATTACCCATTTCTGCAGATTTTTGATAATAGACAAACGCCTTATGTTCGTCCTTTTCAACTCCAATTCCATTTTGATAACAATACCCAATATTATATATTCCACTAGCGTTCTCCATTTGGGCAGAATTATAATAATAAATAAACGCCTTACGTTCATCCTTTTCAACCCCGATTTCATAAAGATAACAATGTCCAGTATTATATGATCCATTAGCATTCCCCATTTCGGCAGATTGTTGATAATGGATAAATGCCTTACGCTCATCTTTTTCTATTCCAATTCCATTTTGATAGAAATATCCAACATTATACATTCCACTTGCGTTCCCCATATTAGCAGAATTATAATAATAAATAAATGCTTTACGTTCATCCTTTTCTACTCCAATTCCATTTTGGTAACAATATCCAACATTATACATTCCACTAGCGTTTCCCATTTCAGCAGACTTTAGATAATAAATGAATGCTTTACGTTCATTTTTCTCGACTCCAAATCCATAAAAATAACAACATCCAACATTATACATTCCACTATCGTGTCTCATCTCTGCAGATTTACAATAATAAATGAAAGCCTTTTGTTCATCTTTTTCAACACCAATTCCGTTTCGATAACAATATCCAATACTAAATATCGCTTTAACATTTCCCATCACGGCAGATTTATTAAAATAAATAAATGCTTTATGTTCATCTTTTTCAACACCAATTCCATAAAAATAACAACATCCAACATTATAAATTCCGCTAACGTTCCCCATCTCAGAAGATTTTTGATAATAAGTGAATGCCTTGCATTCATCTTTTTCAATTCCGATTCCATCTCGATAACAATTTCCAAGTGCAAGCATTCCTTTAGAATTATTCATCTCTGCAGATTTTTGATAATAAATGAACGCTTTATTTTCATCCTTTTCAACGGCAATTCCATTTCGATAAAAATATCCAACACTAAATATAGCCTTGACATTATCCATTTTTGCGGCTTTATTATAATAAATAAATGCTTTATGTACATCTTTTTTAATTCCAATTCCATTTTGATAACAATAACCAACACTATACATTCCATTAGCATTTCCCATATCAGAAGATTTTTGATAATGAATGAATGCCTTATGTTTATCTTTTTTAACTATAATTCCATCTCGATAACAGTTACCAAGTGCAAACATTCCATCAGAACTACCCATCTTGGCAGATTTTTTATAATAATTAAATGCTTTATTTTCATCTTTTTCAACTCCAATACCATTTTGATAACAACATCCAACATTATACATTCCATTAGCGGCAGATTGTTGATGATAAATGAATGTTTTATGTTCATCTTTTTCAACTATGGATGGATTATGTTCATCTTTTTCGGTTATCGCATCTCTTTCAGCTATCATTATGGACGGGTTATGTTCATCTCTTTCAGCTACCACTATGTACGGATGTTCATCTTTTTCAGCTACCGCTATGGACGGATTAAGTTCATCTTTTTCAGCTACTGCTATGGACAGATTATGTTCATCTTTTTCAGCAACCGCTATGGACGGATTATGTTCATCTTTTTCAGCTACCACTATGGACGGATTATGTTCATCTTTTTCAAATTTTCCAACTATAGACGCCGTATGTTCATCTTTTCCAACTATGGACGTCTTATATTCGTCTTTTTCAACTACAGACACCTTATGTTCATCTTTTTCAACTACGGGCACCTTATTTTCATATTTTTCAACTACGGACAACCTATTCTCATCTTTTTCAATTCCCATTGGATTTTGAGTTTCACTAGAAATTCTAATCTCTGCAGATTTTAGACGATGAATGTATTCATCTTTTTCAACACCAATTTCTTCATTATGTGAACCATTAGTGTTCTTTGATTCAGCATATTTTTGATGATGAATATATGCCTTATGTGAATCCATTTCGGTACCAAAACCATTTAGATTACAATAATCAAGCGCAAATATTCCATCAATACTACTCATATGGGCGGGTTTTTGAAAATGAGTGAATGCTTCATTCATTTTTTTTTCAACACCAATTCCTTTTTCGTAACAACGTCCAACATTATATATACCAATAGTATTACCCATTTCAGCAGACTTTTGAAAATAAATGAATGCTTTATGGTTATCTTTTTCAACACCAATTCCATTTTGATAACAATGTCCAACAATAAACATAGCTTTAACATTCCCCATCTCGGCAGATTTATTAAAATGAACAAATGCCTTGTGATCATCTTTTTCAACACCAATTCCATTTCGATAACAATGTCCAACATAATACATTCCATCAGTGTTTCCCATTTCTGCTAATTTTTGATAATAATTGAATGCTTTACATTTATCTTTTTCAACACCAATTCCATCTCGATAACAATTACTAAGAGCAAATATTCCATCAATACTACCCATATTAGCAGATTTTTGATAATAAAGGAATGCCTTATGTAAATCTTTTTCAATCCCAATTCCATTAAGATAACAATGACCGACATTAAATAATGCATTAACATTTCCCATGTCAGAAGATTTAAGATAATAAATGAATGCCTTATGATCATCTTTTTCAACACCAATTCCTAACATGTAGCAATTACCGACATTATATATTGAGTCGGAATCACCCAAGTTAGCAAATTTTTGAAAAAGAAGAAATATTTTGTTATAACTTTCAAATAATTTCTTCTCATCCAACATATTGAAAATTGTCTAAATTGAATCAGCAAAATAAAAATTCGAGTTCTTGTATATACGTAACAAATACGTAATACAAATAATAAAAAACTCAGAAGAATATTAATCAATACGATATTTTAAGATATGTGTTCTAATATAATTGAATGAGATGTGATTAATGTAAGTGTGAAAAGATAAAATCTTATATTAATACTATTGTAATCCACTGACAACTGTTAAGAAATTTATGATCATGGAAATACCTACTTGAGACCGAAAAGTAATTATGAATTACCATTGAGTGATCAATCATATATTAAATATTTAAACCGTGAAGTCAAAACTTTATAAAGTGTAGCTTTCCTAAGATTTTTAGGAAATTAATTAATATCATTCTTCGTCGATACGTATGTACATATCGTAGGTGCCAGAATGTGACACGTTTTTTTTTTACGTTTTTGCATTTTAAAATCTTAAAAGTTTTTATTGTCATGCTGATTGTAAATCACTACTATAAAAGGTTCCACTATAACGATAATGGAAACAATAACATTAGATCAAAAAAGTAACTCTCAAATTTTGCTGAACGATTTCGTATTGCGCCAGGATTGAGATGTTTTTAATAGTCAATTTGTATAGTATCAAATCAATAATGCTCCCGTACTAAAAAGTACGTACATATATTGCAAACTGCTATTAGTGCGTAAGTGCATACATAGGTTTCCAAAGAAATAAAAAGATCTAAATTTGCTACCTCAGATCTGACATGAACCGAATCTCGTTTTCGCCATATTTAGAAAAATTATTAAAGACGAGAACCCCTCGTTCTGGAGCCACATGCTCATAACGATGACGGGAATAGAAATTATATTGCTATAAATAGCTACATTTAAATGTCAGAATGGAACTATCACTATGACCCTTGAAATTGAATCCAATATAATTACACAACGTTAGTAAAGACTAACGCTAAACAATTGAATAACATATCGTATCCCATAACGGTTCAAGTCCCAAGTTAGAACAACATGTGTTCTAACACATTCTTCAGGTAAATGTTTCTATCCCCATTCACATCTCTATCTAATTTCAAACCACATTTTTTACATTTGTACACACGCGATCCTTTCAACCCATCATTAATATTTCCACAACAAGAACACGTCTTCGACATATATTCCTCGGTACAGATTATGACTTGATTATTGGAATACTCGCGGGATTTATGAATAAGGAATTCTTGAAATCGAAAATGAGATCATGTTAATAATCTCCTTTGCGACCTTGCTATTGACCTTTTCTTCACCTTATCGACAAGTTTTTGGCTTTCAAAATTTGGTAACAAGATGGTTGAATAATTATCGCAGATATTTTGCTAATTTGTGATGGCATTCGTTGACAAGATTATGAATCGTTTGAGCAATTCTTTTCATTTTCTTGTTCAACCTATATCTTTTTTCTCTTTTTAACTCTTCCAAGAGCCTTCGATTCATCCGAATGTAATTTATCATATCTTAAACAATGTCGAAACAACCTTTTCGAATCATTGAACCCGTACTGAAAAACACGACCCCTCGGGTCGTAACCAGTCATGAAGGTTCTTTTGTCTGACTGAAGTTGGAATCTGACTAAAGTTGGAACTTCAGTTGACTGAAGTTGGCACCCGCCTAAAACAGGGGTCCCTTAAAGCGGGGCAGATTTCATATAATGATCTACATACTGCATAAATTGTATTCTTGATATATAAATAA